TTTCCCTGACTCCTAGATATCCTTCAGGTCCCAGCTCTCATATCACTTCCTCAGGGGAACCTTACCCTCCTTCCATTCTGCTCTCACCCCATGGCTTCTCCTGGGAGAATACGCATCACCATTATCCGCTCGGCGTTACTTGTTGAGGCTCTGTCTTCCTTGCTGGGCGGCAGGGACAGGTGTCTTGCCTCTCTTAGGTCCCCAGAACCCAGCACAGGCCGTGGAACGAAGCAGGTGCTCAAATATTTGTTGAATGAGTCAGTCTGGCCTCCTGAACTGGAGTGGAGAGGGTGGTAAAGTGTGTGGAGCAGTTTGCCAGGTGATGGGGAAAGAGGCCTTCTAGTACAAAGAAGAGAGCAAGAGATGTGGTAGAAACGATAATCGGCATCTTTTTGAGCCTTTACTATACGTACAACTACTCTGCTCGCCGTTTTATACACGTGATTTTGTTTGAGCCGCGCAATGTTTCCACGAGGTGTTCTCCATTTTACAGGTTGAGAAAGGGGAGACTTGAAGAGGGGAAGTCCCGTTCCCATGGTCACTCAGCAAGGGATTTGAACTTGGCAGGCTGACTCTTAAGGGCTCACAGACATAAGCTCTAAGCTGGGTGGCCTCCTTGTGGGTAGAGGGGTCAGTAAAGAGCCCTTCTGGCTGACTGGAGGTCACTGTGCAGGGGTGTGTGTGTGTCTGTGGTAGCCGTGGGAGATGGAGAGGACGGGGTAGCGGTGGTCAGCCCTGGGGAGGCCTTGAATGCCAGGGTGAGGAGTTTGGGCCTCTGATAATAATAGCTACTCGTTCTTGAGCTGCCTGCCACTTTATTAGATTATTTAACCTTTACAGCAACCCTGTGTGATAGATATTATGATTTTTCGCCCCAATTTTACAGCTGAGAGCTGAGACACAAAGCAGTTGTAGGAACTTGCCCAATGTGTGACACATTGGGAAGGTGGCCGAGCCGGGATTCAGACCCTGTGCATCAGGCCCCAGAGTCCACTGCGGCTGTGGTGGCTTAATCACCAGGCCGTGCTGCCTGCCGCTGCGGGGTTGAGCCTGCAGAACCTCTGCTGCTCCTGACGTGGGTGTCTCCTCCCCCCTCTCCCCCGCCTTCTCTCCCCAGCATCCCCAGAGGCAGCAGCAGCACTTCTCGTCCCTGGATGACAAGCCCCAGTTCCCAGGGGCCTCAGCGGAGTTTATAGACAAGCTAGAGTTCATCCAGCCCAATGTCATCTCTGGGATCCCCATCTACCGCGTCATGGACCGGCAGGGCCAGATCATCAACCCCAGCGAGGATCCCCACGTGAGAGGCCGCTTCCCCCCGACCCCGTGCCTCCATGCCCAGGCCCCTTGCCTGTCTCTTCCCCTCTGGTCCCACTGGCCCACATATGTCTGTGCCTTCATCTGCAGCTGCCCCAGGAGAAGGTGCTCAAGTTCTACAAGACCATGACGCTGCTCAACACCATGGACCGCATCCTCTATGAGTCCCAGAGACAGGTGCATGGGGACGGGCTGGGGAGAGGGGCATGGGATTACCTGCGGTCCCCCTACCTGTGTTTGGGCCAAAAGACAGCTCCCAAGGAGGAGGGAGTGCAATGGAGATCCTTGTCTTGAGGTCCTTAGAGTTCTTGGGGTTCTGCTGGGGCTCTGGAGGAAGAGGGTGGGAGGGTCCTGCCCAAGGGCAGAAGGGTGGACCAGATCACGGAAAGCCTACTGTACGCCGGGCTGGAGGCTTAGCTGTGCTGGGAGAGGGCAGGCAGGAGAAGACTGGACTCCCCTTCCTCTCAGGTGCTCACAGTTCTGAGAAACAGGGTGGCTCTCAGTGCTTCTGGGAGTGCCCGTGTCCAGTGTGCTGCGGTGGGACACTCAGCAGTGTTAGCATCGGCCGACAGAGACCCAGTCAAAGCAGTGTCAGCAAAGAGGGAATTGGGTGACTCGACTAACTGCAAGTCCATAAGGCCCTGTTTCAGGCACAGCTGGACCCAGGGGCCTCAAAACATGTTTTCAGACCTGTTTCTCTCTCTGAGTACCTTTTCGACTCTCCTTTGCCTTGGCTTCCTTCATTCTCAAGCTGCGGTGGTCTCTGGAAGCTCCAGATTCACGGAGAGGTGGCAGAGGAAGGGTTCAGGGTGCAGGCTCTGGAGCTAGACTGCAGTTCGAGTCCACGTTCTGTCACTCTCTAGCCTTGTGGCCCTGGGGAAGTTGCTTAGCCTTCCAGTGCTTCGGTTTTCTCGTCTCTAGCTACTTTATGGGGTTGCTGTGAGGATTGACGGTGGCCTATATAATGGCCTTAGGAACAGTGAAACTGGCATTTGTCATGGATACCAGTCGTGCAATTATTATCCTTTCTGTTTAGCAGTGGAAAGAGAATGTCTGGTCCCTAATGTTCCAGCAGAAGGCCCAGAGCTGATGCTTATTGGCCAGGCTTTGGTCACAGAACCCGCCTTGAGCCAGCCCATGTGATTGACCGGCCAAGCCGGGGCCATGTGCCCATCCCCAGGAACCAAGGGAGCAGAGGCCTGGAGTCCGTCCCTCCCAGGCTGTGGAGACGGAGAGCAGGAGCGTGGGGTTCCTGTTAGGAAAGTGGGAAGAATGCTGGGCAGCCTCGTCCTCAGGAGTGGGGATGGGCTTGGCAGTCTGCACTTGTATCAGGCCCCCTGGTGACCCCACTGTGACCCCACTGTGCACTGAAAGCATGAGGCCCACTGAGAACAGTTCCGAGCAGGTCAGGCGGGCAGCCAGCTGCCTGGTTCTCTTGCTCACAGGAGCACTACGAGTGGGTTCTCCACCTGCCCAGAAACTTCCCTTGGCTCCTACTGTCCACAGGATCAAGACCTGCCCTTCCTGTCCACCCTGTCTCCCATTCACTGTGGCCTCGGCCATCTGCTTCCCTCTGCATGGCCTCAGTGCCAGGCCACCCCTCCCACCCTCTCTCACATGGCTGGGCTCCTTCCTGACCTCTGGGTTGGCTGCGCAGACGGGGGCTTTGGAACCTGGCAGACGTGGGTCCAGTCAGGAATGTGACTTTAGGCAGGTGATTTTTCTTGTCTTTGCCTCGGTTTCTTTAGTGTATTAAAGCATAGAAATAACGACAGAACCCACCCCACCTCACCCGACCAGGTGGGGGTGGGAATTCTGTGAGACCCGGCATGTAAAGCCCCTCGCCTGTTGGCTGACACAGGGAACCCTCAGTAAGATCAGCTCAGCCATCAGGTTTCAGCCTTCCTTAGCTAGGGTTATCCCAGCAGCCCCCCATCCCAACAGAAATAAAAGCAGTAGTTTAAACGGATTAATAGGTTTTTTTCTCTTGCATGAAAGAAATGTGAAAATAGGTGGTCGGGGCTGGTATGGTGGCACCACAATGTCATTGGATACCCAGCACTGGCTTCTAGCCTCTGGGGCCCTTCATAAACCAAATGGCTGCTGGAGCCCCCTCCGTCATGGCTCGTTCCAGGCAGGAGGTAGAAGGAAGGTGGAAGGTCAAACATGGCACCGCCCAGCTATCTCCCCACACCCACATTTATAGAACTTTCCAGGCAGTCCCACCAAAAAACATCACGTTTCATCGGTCACTCCCAGCTGCAAGGGAGACTGGGAAAGTAGTCTTTTAGTCCGGACAGGTGCTGTCTGTGGTGGAATGAGATCTGTTAGCAAAGAGGAAGATGGATCTGATACTGGGTAGGCAACCAGGGACCTCTGCCTCTAGCCCAGGTCCTGCTTCCTCAGGGGGCCCCCCTCTCAGGCTCCTCCCCACACCAACCTCAACAGCCCTGCCAGGCCCTCAGCACTCAGCATCTGCCCCACTCATTGCTTTCAGTTGGCTCCCCCACTTGGAAGAAAGTGTTCATCTGTGGTCCCCCCACTGCGACAGGAGGCCCTTGCGGAACACATGAGGCCTGGGCACAGGGCGTCCTGCAGCTGCTGACCCGGTTGGCTCCATTTTTTCCTTACATACAGTCCTGCTTACCTCCATCTGTGTGCCAGGGCTCCCGGATCTCCAGCCAGACTTCACCTCTTAGCCCCCGATCTGCTTGGCTTCTCACCCTGGGTGTCCCTCACCAAATTCAGCCCGTCCAGGCTTGAGCTCAGCACCTTCCTCCCAGACCTGCTCCTATTCCACCCTTAGGCCATTTCTCAGTGACGGTACCGCCGTCCACCCATTTGCCCAAACTGGAGACCTACTGGTATTCCCTGTCCCCTCCCACCCCCTCACTACCACTTTCCCCTTTCATTCACTCTGCCCTTAGGTATTTAGTTAGAAATCCATTCTGCTGCTCAGCACCACCATCAGGAACCCAGACTTCCTCCCTTTCTGCTTCACCATCGTGGGCGACTTGGCTTTCGCCCCGTGCTTCTTGCCTCACGTTCACAAGATGGCTGCCACAGGTCCAGGCTTCGTGGCTGTGTGCAAACCTGGAGGGAAGGGGTGGCAGCAGCTGCAGTGACCTCTTTTATCAAGAAAGCAAAAGCAGACTTCTGCTTAATTCTCTGCCTAGAACTTGTGTCCTGTGGCCACTTCTGACTGTAAGGGAGGCTGGGAACATATTTTTCCAGGCTCTGGCATTAGGGGGACTCAGGAGAAGGGAGTTGCCCTGGGCACCGGTGTAGCAAACTAACAGGGGCTGCCGCTCCCTGCACCACTCACTCTGCTTCTCAAGACTCTCAGTCATCCTCTCCCTGCCGCCTGCCACCACCAGGCCAGGCTGCGCCCCCTCCCACCTGGTGCTTGGCACTCGTTCCAGTCTCCTCCATCCGTTCCCACATGGTAGCCTGAGAGACATTTTTAAAACATCTCTCCCCTGAGAGCTGCTGGCGGGTTACCGTCGTCCTCAGGGTAAAGTCCGGATACATCCGGTCCCTGCCTCTCCCTCCCTCCTCCTCGTTCTCCACCCCTCCCACTTTGTGTCCCAGCCCTTCTCACCTCATGGCCTTTCTTGTTCTCTCTGCCTGGAAACCTCCACCCTCCCTACCTTTGCTCGGCATAGGCATTGCTCCTCGATGCCCCTCCACAGTGGGGCGGGTACCCCTTCAGCCCCCATCACGCAGCCCCATCACCCTGGCTCTAACCAACCTGGCGGTTCCTCTGTGAAGGCAGGAACCCCAGCGTAGCCTGGTCCAGAGCCACCCTTCAGGAGGCATCTGTTGAATCACAGAGTAGTCAGAAGTCGGTCAGTGGATGTTTCTCTGCCATTGCCCAGTCTAACTGAACCCGCCCTCTGGGCCCTCCTCCACCCCCAGGGCCGGATATCCTTCTACATGACCAACTACGGTGAGGAGGGGACGCACGTGGGGAGTGCAGCAGCCCTGGACAGCACGGACCTGGTGTTTGGCCAGTACCGGGAGGCAGGTACGTCTGCCCGTGGCCCGACCCTGTGGAGCAGGTGCCAGGGACCTGGGTCTGTGGTCCCCATCGAGACAAGTCAGGCCCAGTCCCTCCTGCTATGAAGGCGAGGCCCACATTAGTTACCAGTGTGCTCTTCTGGGAGCAGCACCTTGCCAGGGAGGCCTAAGGGTGCTTCCCCTCCGCGGAGGCCTGGCAGTATTGTAGTTAAGAGCCTGTGCTCCTGACCATTCCATGCCCTGCTGGTGACCAGTTGTTCGATTTTGGGCAAGTCACTTCCGTTTTCTGAGCCTCGGTTTTCTCATCTTTGAAATAGAGATTATGATGGGATGGCAACCCCTTGCGCTGTGGGGCTGCTGCGAGCCTGCAGTGAGGTCAGGCCGAGCTGGCCTCTTCCCAGGTGCCGTATCCTTCACGCAGCCGCAGCCGAAGCAGATGGGCGGGCGTGTTCCAGCCTGGGAGCGGCTAACTTCTGAGTGAATGAGGGAGAGGATGGAAGGAGCGACGACTAGGAATGAAGAAAATGGATGAGTGTTAAGGAGAGACTGGGGGTGCAGGAGTGATCCCGGGGAGCTGAGGGTGGGGTTCAAGAGCAGTTGTTGGTATGGGGCCTGGCAGGGGAGCCAGATCTGACCCTTCCTCTCAGGTGCTGCACGATCTTGGGCAGGTTGCTTAACTGCTCCTTGCCTCAGTTTCCTCGTCTACAGTGGGAGACGGTGAACACCCCCACGACGATTGTTGAGGGGTTTCACAGGGCAGATGACGTAAAGCCCTCAGCACAGGGCCTGGCGTGGGGTAAGCACTCGGAGTCAGAGGCGGTGTCGTGACCGAGGCCTCTCACCCGGGGACAGCTCTTCAGTGGGGAGGTGTGGCCTGGCCAGGCAGGCTGCCCAGAGCGCTCCCGGGACCAGCACAGCCTTCCAGTCTGCTCTCAGACTATCTACTGTCTCAGCTGCACCAGACCCCTCCACCCCACATGCTCCAGGGGAACAGATGCCCTGTGATACTGTCCGTGGTTCCGCATCATTAGGTTTGCCTGGGCATTGGGCCGCAAGCCAGGCCCCTGCAGGCCCCTGCCACGTTTGCTAAGCGCTTCTCACTGTTTCTGCTGAGGGGATCTCTCTGGGGAGGGCTCCAATCAGGGCCTGGAGCGAAGAGCCTGGAGCTACGGGCGGCTGCTGGGCTCTGCACACGGGGGCTCTTCAGGCCCCGGCCACCTCTACAGGAGTGAGCCGTCCTGCACCAAGGGTCACGGAAGGCCCTGCATCCAGGCAGCTGCCGCGGGCGCCTGTGCGGGCCAAGGAGGAAAGGCAGGCCCCGCTTGTCCCAGTCCTGACTGGGCAGCTACTCCCCGTGTGACTCTCTCCTGTGAAGTGGGGAGAACAAGGGCACTGAGAACGGTAGCGCTCACTGAGCTGTCCTCGGTGCTGGAAACCCTGGAGCCTGTGTCGGTTCCCCTCGCAGCAGAGTGGAGGCCCCTGCCCACCTCCCACTGGAGCGGCCGCAAGAAACCCCCGCCAGCCCCACCCACTGTGTGAGCCAGCTAGTGCGAAGCTCACGTCAGAGAGGTGCGGCCTTGTGGTGCCTTTGATGACGAGGTGGGCGTCCACTGGGGTTTTGTTTGAAGAAAGGATTTTACTGCCATGAGCAGGTTTGAATATTTCCTCTCTAGTCCATAGGTCATGAGCACGGCCCATACTTTTATTTGCTTCGTATGATCATTGTTTTTTTAAGTAGATGAATTAGTGGAAACTCTTAAGAATCAGGTAGCTTCCCCTCCTCTCCCCTAGCGCCCCCCCCCCAAAAAAAAAAAGAGCCGTGGCCGCTGAGCCTGCGCGTCCGGAGCCTGTGCTCCGCAACGGGAGAGGCCACAACAGTGAGAGGCCCGCGAGCCCCCCCCCCCCAAAAAAAAAAAGCAAGCTGGATTGCTCCTTTAGAAAAACTGGACCATCTGGCCTCCCTGGGCAGAGGTTAGTTGGTTTGAACAGCAGCCTCCGTCTTGAGGCAGGCCTGTGCTTTCTGCTCTGCCCGCCTGCTTCCTGGACCCGCCTGGTCCCTATAAGCATCCGAACGCGCCTTCCCTGCTGTAGTACAGTCAGCGGAACAGGTCCCAGGCAGGAAGGGCCTGGCCCAGGGGCCCTCACAGGGTTGGCCTGTCCCGCACGCCACCCGCCACGGTGACCCTGCCTTCTCCTGCACCAGGTGTGCTCATGTACCGGAACTACCCCCTGGAACTGTTCATGGCCCAATGCTACGGCAACGTGAGCGACCTGGGCAAGGGGCGCCAGATGCCCGTCCACTATGGCTGCAGGGAGCGCCATTTCGTCACCATCTCCTCTCCACTGGCCACGCAGATCCCTCAGGGTGAGGATGCATGCCCCGGGCCCCACACACACACAGTCTGACGTTACCCTGCTCGGGGCCCTAGCCTCCTCCATCCCTTCCGGGGGCTTCCTGGTGGCGCCACGGTCCTAGCGCTGGTCTGGGCTCTAGACTTACAAGACCCCTCTTGTCTGGGACCCTCGTAGGAGGGCTCTAGTGGCGTCTCTGCCCCATTTCGGCAGGTTTGAGCAGGCACAATCACGCTCTCAGTTTCTCACGCTTGTGCCCACCCCGTGTCCATTCACCGGCACAGCCAGCTGCGTGGGACTGAGCGTGTGCCAGCTTCCTTACTAAAGGTCACCCGGCAGGTAGCAAGAAGAGTAGGCACTCAAATTGTGGACCATGTGGCTCAAGACCCTGGGTTCTCCACCCCGGCCCTTCCCTGCCTCTGTCCTGAGCGACTCCCCTAAAGCTCACTCCGAAAGTCCACGACGCTTAGCGCAGTTGGTGTGGCTTCTGTTAAAGGTGACTGCTTGTGAAGCAGACCTGCCAGGGGGAGGGCTGTGGCCACACAGTGCAAAAACAGCGATGTGGACAGCCCCCGCCCCCCGCCCTGCGGAGCCTGCACTCGGTTGAGGGTCCGTCTGCTCCAGGGCAGACACATGAACTGATGTGTACAGGGCTTAGAGTGCCTGGCATGCCAGAGGGCCCTGGGCACCTTCGCCCGGTGTGTTCTATTTGGGAACAGGAGCGGTTTGTGTCTGAGGTGGGAGGCGGACAGGGCAGCTTTGCGGGAAGGGGTAGCATTTTCACTGATTTCCATTTCGTAGGCTTTCCGTAAGGTGGGGCCTGGCCCTCATCTTCCATTTGGGTGACCAGTTAAGTCACTCAGTTGGCCAGTGTACGGGGTCCATGCTGTGTGCTGGGTGCCGTTCTAGGTGCATTGAACAGAGGCAGCAAAAACCTCAGCCTTCCTGGTGCTGACGCTGGTGGGAGAGACGGACAATAAACAGGATGAAGTAACACATGGAGTGTGTCAGGGGTGATAAGGCCCGCGGGGAAAAGTAAAGCTGAGGGGGAGCGGTTCTCGGTTCTCGATGGGGGAAGGTGGGGACAGGTGTCATCAGGTGACAGTACAGACCAGAAGGAGGTGAGAGAGGGAGCCCCTCGGGATCTGGAGGCGGGTGCCTGCCCGGTGACGTGTCTGAGGTGCCAGGAGGAGCCAGTGGGGCAGGTGTGGAGGGAGGGGTGCGTACAGGTGGGGTCTCAGGCTGTTGACTTTTGACCCAGAGTGAACCCGAGCTGGGGAAGGGGGAGGAGTCCACTGCAGAACCACCTGCCGGCTCGGCTGCTGCCCTGAGGGTAACAGCTTGGGTGGGAGGAGCAGGGGGCCGGGGAGGAGGCCGCTGGGCCAGAGGTGGGGCTGGGACCACCGGGGAGAGGTTAAGGAGTGGGGAGAAGGGGTCAGATTCTGGCTCCGTTTTGAAGGCTGAGCGGGCATGGGGGCGTGACAGAAAGTCGGGAGTCAAAGATGCTGAAGTTCGTGGCCTGAGCAGTTGGAAGGATGGAGGGATGGAGCTGCCCGCAGCCGCGGGGAGGAGACTGTGGGCGGGGCAGCTTCTGGGGGAGGGGGAGGGGCGGCTCAGGTGTTTTCTTTCCCCTCAGAGCCTGGCAACACCTAGCCTGAGGCTGGAGCCCCGGGTTGGGGTGTGAGGGTGTGGACGCGGGGAGGGTATGAGTGCGGGGAGACGCGTGTCTCTGCTCCTGCAGCGGTGGGGGCAGCCTACGCGGCCAAGCGGGCCAACGCCAACAGGGTCATCATCTGTTACTTCGGAGAGGGCGCGGCCAGTGAGGGGGACGCCCACGCCGGCTTCAACTTCGCAGCCACCCTCGAGTGCCCCATCATCTTCTTCTGCCGGAACAACGGCTATGCCATCTCCACGCCCACCTCCGAGCAGTACCGCGGGGATGGCATCGGTACGGGCCCTGGGGGCTGCTCCCCGCCCTGCCTGCGCCCTCTCCTTCCTCCCCTCTCGCCACTCCCTGCTCCTGTCTCACCTGAGCCCTGACGCCTGACCTGCCTCCCTGTCCCTACAGCGGCTCGAGGCCCCGGATATGGCATCCTGTCCATCCGCGTGGACGGCAATGATGTGTTTGCTGTGTACAACGCCACCAAGGAGGCCCGGCGGCGGGCCGTGGCGGAGAACCAGCCCTTCCTCATTGAGGCCATGACCTACAGGTGCCTGCCGCCCCGCTGCCGGCCCCCAGCCCTGACCGCTGCCGTCCTCAGCACCTCCCCCACGTTGATCACCGTCCCCGCGGTACAACCCCACTGCCCTGCACCGTGTAGCCCCTTCCGGCCTTTATTCCGTTTCCCCCCCTTCTCCCGTAGTTCACCCGTTCCTTCCTGACCTTCACCTGAGGGGCGCCAGCCTGACCCTGGGTCCCCCTCCCACTGGTAGGATCGGGCACCACAGCACCAGTGACGACAGCTCAGCGTACCGCTCAGTGGATGAGGTCAATTACTGGGACAAGCAGGACCACCCCATCTCCCGGCTGAGGCACTACCTGCAGAGCTGTGGCTGGTGGGACGACGAGCAGGAGAAGGCCTGGAGGAAGCAGTCCCGCAAGAAGGTGAGGAAGGGCCACCCTCCGCTGGAAACCACCCCAGGGGTCGTGTTCCGGGATGGCGTGTCACGGAGAGCCCTGCAAGGATGGGGAGGCTGGGGGCCACTGAGTTGGCAGTCTCGGGGATAACCCTGGTGGCGTCTCTAATGTCATGATGCCAGGACACATGCATCTCAGCTGTGCTCTGCCCTCAGCGCCTTCGCCTCTGAAGACGGATGCTGGGGCACCCGCCTCAGGAGCTTGTCTGAGGGTCTGCATCTGGCCCAGATGGGGTGTAGGTGTCTGCCAGAGTCTGTGCACTGCCCTCCTCGGCCCTGGTCATCAGACACCAGAAGCACTGCGGCCCAGTGGGCAGGGCAGACCCTGGTGTCGGGCAGCGTGTGTTTCCTGGCTCTGCCCCTGACCACGTTATCGTGGTCTCTGTGCCTTGGTTTCCTCACCTCTGAGCTGCCTGCTTCTTAGGGCTGCTGAGAGGCTGAATGGATTCCATACTCTTAGTATAGTGCCTGGTTCTGCTAAGGATGGAGATGCTGGGATTTGGGACATCAGTTGTCACCACTATTTGTTTTTTCTTTTTAATTTATTAAATTTATTTATTTTTGGCTGCACTGGGTCTTCGTTGCTGCGTGCGGTCTGTCTCTAGTTGCAGCGAGCGGGGGCTACTCTTCATTGCGGTGCGCGGGCTTCTCATTGCGGTGGCTTCTCTTTGTTGCGAAGCACGGGCTCTAGGCGCGTGGGCTTCAGTAGTTGTGGCGCGTGGGCCCTAGAGCGCAGGCTCAGTAGTCGTGGCGCATGGGCTTTGTTGCTCCGCGGCATGTGGGATCTTCCCGGACCAGGGCTCAAACCCTTGTCCCCCGCATTGGCAGGCGGATTCTTAACCACCGCTCCACCAGGGAAGCCCGTCACCACTATTTCTATTTTCCACGTGGGAACTTGAGGCTCAGGGGGCTTAACCCCTCGCCAGGATCCCACAGGTAGGAAGCAGGTTCCTGGGTGAGAGGTCGGCTGCCTGCCCACTGCCGCTTGTCCCCCAGGTGATGGAGGCCTTTGAGCAGGCCGAGCGGAAGCTGAAGCCCAGCCCCAGCCTGCTCTTCTCAGATGTGTATCAGGAGATGCCTACCCAGCTCCGCAAGCAACAGGAGTCTTTGGCCCGTCACCTCCAGACCTATGGGGAACACTACCCCCTGGATCACTTCGAGAAGTGAGGCTACTTGCCCCATCCCCACCTACCTCAGCTCTGCCTCTGAGGGGAAGAGGTGACGGGCAGGATGCTACCCCCTTCCCCTGACAGCTCCCTGCAGCACACTCGGGCCAGGGCAGCACTTGGGGCGGCTCCTGCCTCTCCAGGCTGTTAACATTGGTGGGGCCTTGGTCAGCCCCTTCTTTGCCTTCAGTTACAGGGTCTTCTCCCAGGGGCTGGGCAAGGGCACCTCCAGGACTGGAAGACCCTCAGGGCTGGGGGTGGACGTGGCAGGTCAGCCTGTGGAACTTACTCAGAGTGAGAGGTGGTCAGCAGGTAGTGAATAAACTATGTGTGTGCATTTGGCTTCATGCTACCTCTGGTTTCTGTTTCCTGGAGTTTGGGATGTGGGAGGAGAGGCCAGCATGACTGGTTTGGGACCACCCTGCTTCTCCAGTTGAGATAAGTAAGGCCAAGGCTGTTGAGCTATCTTCTTCCTCCAGAAACTTTTGCAAGCTGGAAGGTCAGCTTCAGCGAACAGGATGGGGGTGGGGTCCTCCGGAGATGGCCTCTTGTCTCCCATAGAATGAGTCAAAGCTGGTGTCCAGCAAGGTGACCGAGAGGCCATCGGAGCCGGCCTTGCCCAGTAAGGGTGGGGAGAGTGTCCGGTGTGAAGGTCAGGGTGCAGCTGAGCTTTGCTCCGTAAACTGCCTCAAGGCCCCATAGACAGAGACGACGACTCCAGGCCTCAGAGTGGGAGGTGCATATTTTTCAAAAACTGAAAGACAGAAACAGTCTGTCGCCTCTTGGGGAGGCCCAGGGAGGGCTCAGGCAGCCTCCATTCCAGGACCTCCTTCCTCGCACCAAGGCCTAGAAAGAGAGGCTGAGCAAGGGGCTGGCACCAAGGCCCAGGCCAGGTCTGCCCTCCCCGCCCCTCCCCACCTCCCGAGTGTCAGCACCGGAGCTGAGGGTCCCGCAGCTGTTTCCAGAGCCGGATGCTGTCCTGGGGGCTGAGGGGCCGCACCAGCAGTAGGTCACGGAAAGCACAGGGGTCAGTAGTGTGGTCTGCCGGCCAGGCCGTGAGGAAGGCTTTGTGGGTCCTGGGGGCCAGGCCCAGGGCTCGGAAGCACAGGCCGGTGTAGACATCGTCGAAGGGGAAGGGGGCCACGCGGGCCGCCGCCTGCAGCAGCCAGGGTGCCAAGCGGCCCGCGATGATGTAGCCGCCCCCACTTGCATAGGCTGGGTAGCCGCCTTCAAAGAAGGACCCAGGCACGTAGAAGGGTCCTCCAGGCTTCCGGAGGGGCTTGGCCTGGGTGAAGACCTCACCCAGGTAGAGGCCACGGGCCGTGCTGGGCGGCAGGGCCCGCAGGTGGTCCAGAAGGGCGGGGATGTGCACGAAGGCGTCATCCTGGGCTTGCAGGATGAAGCTCACGCTGGGGCAGTGGCGGCCCAGCCAGGCTAGCAGCAGCAGGTCCTTGAGCGTCTGGTTGAAGGGGACGTCAAGGAAGTCCCAGAGCAGCAGGTCACTGTAGCGGCGGCTCTCCCAGGCCACCAGGGAGCCTAGGTCAGGCCTCCCCTCGCCGGCTGGGGACCCCAGCAGGAAGAGCAGCCGGACCCCGGGAGCCGGCCTGCCCCATGTCTCCCTCACGGCCTGTCGTTCCGCGAAGCGCCCTGGTTCCGACTTGACGGCCAACAGCAGGTAGGGGACGTCGGGATCCTCGCAGCTGGCCACCTGGCCACCGCCACCCCTGGGCAGCCACCGAGGGAAGCTCCGGCAGGCTGCCGACAGCAGGAAGTGGCGGAGGTCCTCAGGGTAGGAGGCGAAGTCGGGGATCTCAGCCGCAGCGGCAGCTCCCCAAGCGCGGCAGCCCCCCACCTCAGTGCTGTCCCCACCGGGCAGGGTCCCCAGCCGCCACTGCTGCTGGTTCCAGTAAGCCGAGGGCAGCGGGTCAGTCTGGCCCAGACGGGCCGAGAGGTTAGCCGGCAGGGTGGGCTCGGGGCTGGCTGGCGTGGGGCCTGGTGGGGTGCTGCGGGGTCCCGGGTAGGCCTTACCCAGCCGGGGCTCGGATGTCCACTCGATGTACACTTTGAGGCCCAAGAGTGTGAGCAGTGCTGACAGGCAGAGAAGGCACTTGGGGCAGCGCATGACCCGGCCCAGGAAAGGGCAGCTGTGGGAGCTGCAAAAGAGCCACAGAGGCCTTTTGGGGTGCAGGGACGGGCCCTCGGGCCCTGCCGAGCCCTCTAAGGCTTCTGGTAGTCTCAGACCCTAAACCAGCCCTCCACCAGCGACTCTGACTTTCCTGTCTTCCGGGACCTACGAGTCCCTATTCTACTTGCATTCCAGCGCCCTGTTCTTTCCACTTAGCCCACCTCCTTCTACTTTCATAGAAACCCGGGAGGCTACCTATTCCCCATCCACACCCCAGAGACCAGGGACTCCGCCATTCCAACCTCCCTCTCTCCCCAGTTCATCCCCCTCACCAGGAGTCAGTATCACCAGGGTCACCTCCTCGCCCGACAGTCCCCACCCCGGGCACGGCTCCCTCCCCTTTACCTCTGGGTCCGGCTCTGGCCAGCACCAGCGCCTGGGGCCTTGGGCCGGCCCTCTGCCCTCGTCCGGCAGCGCTGGAGTCTCCGGCACTGTTGTTCTCCAGCCCAGCCCAGCCCAGCCCAGCCCAGCCGGTCTGCGGGAGGCTGGGAGGGCCCCAGGGGCCGGGAGGGACCGGGGCGGGGCTGAGGGAGGGGGAGGGGGGAAGAGGACAGGAGGCAGACCTGAGGGATGGGGCTCCGGCGTGTTGGGGCTGGTTTTCTGCTGAGACAGCGGGAAAGGTGCAGGGGTGGCTGCAGAGACCGGGAGCTGACAGACTGGGGAGGGGAGAACCAGGGGGCCTGGGAGAGAGTCCGAGGGAGGGTGAGGCCGAGGGGCTGGGAAGTGTCAGAATGGCCCAAGGGCAGGCAGAGTCCTAAAGTGGCCAGGCCAGAGGCCAGCGGGCAGGGCCTGGCCGGG